ATATATATATATATATGTGTATATATATATATATATATACACATATATATAAAATGTGATTTACTTACACTGTTGGGAATATTCACTGGGAGCTTTGAGTTCTGTAAAAGACAACACAGCCTTATTTCAACAGTACAGGAAGTATGATTCCAAAGTGATTTATAGTCATTTTACAATTTCCTGTTTCTCTGCAACTGACGAAGGTTGCATGGACCAAAACTGTGTAATACAAATAATGATAAGCAGGGCATTTTGGTGAGATTATAATATACATCTTTCACTAAGATTTTTCTCTCCTATGCACCTGTCATCGAATCAAGTGTGCAGAGTTTCCTAAATTTGTTGTTTGAAAAAATGCAAGTACAGAAAATACCAGGAAGCCAGGAAACATAGAAGAGAATAAATCAGCAGAGATAAGACAAAAGGAGTTAACAAAAGCACAGAGGACAAAACACCACCAAAGTAAAACAGAATGTAAGTAAACAGATGGCAGAATCACTTACATATGAACTTAACACAGAAACAAAAACACAGTCTTGATATATTGAAGTAAATAAACATAGAGACAAGACTAGGGTAGACATGGGAAGATAAGGGAGCCAAAAATACAAGGAAATATAATATAAACTGAAACCAGGAAAACCAAACCTGGGAAACATAAATAAACAGAAACCGCAGGAAATACTGACAAGAGACAAAACTTAAAATACTGGGTCCTAGACCCAGGGATCATGACATAAACAATAACTTACCAATTCCCTTTGTTGGACCAAATGGAAAGGTTGATGTTTTTTCTTGTTTGAGGTTTTCCTGCTCAGAAGCCAGACCTGTTGCTGCATCCTCAAATACATCCCAGACCAGGTGTCCATTGTTCTCTTTTGCAATTTGAACCAAGCGTGTTAGCAGCTCTGCACGTTCGAGGTTCTTCAGCTTCAAATGTCTGTATTTGCATTTTCTGATAAAGTCCTTTAAGGGTTGATCTTCTTTCATGAAAGCTGAGCTCTTCTCTCTGGGAGTTGATTTCAGAACCAATGAATGATCAAATGATTGATCACTGAATTCTTCAAGGACTTTGCAGAGCCTCCGATTTTGCTCCTCAGTGAAGTCTTCAGGCTGTAGAACCAACAGGAACACGTGAGGTCCAGGAGCAGAGAGCCTCACACAGGTTTCTACATGCTCCTTCAGTTTGGCATCATAGATATTGGGAAGCAACAGGTCTGGGGTGTTAATGACAACTATTCGTTTTTCCTTGAAGGGTGTCCTGAATTCCACACAGCAGTCTGGTGCTTTTTCAGTACAGAACTTCTCCTGTCTCAGTATCATGTTCCCCACTGCTCTCATCTCTGACCATTTGTTCCCCAGCAGAACCACCCTCAGCTCGGACACTGGGAAGAAAAGTAAATCACTTATTTCCAGACAATTAACTGAAGAGAAGCAGAACAGGAAATTAATTAATTTATCTATAAAGCACTTTAACATAAAGCCAGGGTTCACAAAG